TAGGCTAGAAAAAGAAATAAAGGGCATCCAAATTGGTAAAGAAGAAGTCACAGTATCTCTGTTTTCAGATGATATGATCTTATACACAGAAAACCCCAAAGAATCCACAAGAAAATTACTGGAACTAACAGAAGATTTCAGCAAAGTATCAGGATACAAGCTAAACATACAAAAATCAGTTGGATTCCTCTACACCAGCAAAGAGAACTTCCAAGGGGAAATCACCAAATCAATACCATTTATAATAGTCCCCAAGAAGATAAAATACTTAGGAATAAATCTAACCAGTGATGTAAAAGACCTATACAGTGAAAACTACAAGACACTACTGCAAGAAACCAAAAGAGATCTGCATAAGTGGAAAAACATACCTTGCTCATGGATAGGAAGACTCAACATTGTGAAAATGTAAATTCTACCCAAAGTGATCTACAGATACAATGCAATCCCAATCCAAATTCCAAAGGTATTTTTTAATGACATGGACATACAAATCACCAACTTCATATGGAAAGGGAAGAGGCCCTAGATAAGTAAAGCATTACTCAAGAAGAAGAACAAAGTGGGAGGCCTCACACTACCTGATTTTAGAACCTATTATACTGCCAAGATAGTCAAAACAGCCTGGTATTGGTACAACAACAGATACATATACCAACGGAACAGAATTGAGAATCCAGATGTAAATTCAGCCACCTATGAGCAGCTGATATTTGACAAAGGCCCAAATTCCATTAATTGGGGAAAAGACAGTCTCTTTAACAAATGGTGCTGGCATAACGGGATATCCATCTGCAAAAAATTGAAACAAGACCCATACCTCACACCATGCACAAAAACTAACTCAAAATGGATCAAAGACCTAAATATAAAATCGAAAACGATAAAGACATGGAAGAAAAAATAGGGACAACACCAGGAGCCCTTATACATGGCATAAACACAATACAAACCATAAGTAACAATGCACAAGAACCAGAAGAGAGACTAGATAATCGGGAGCTCCTAAAAATCAAACACTTACGCTCATCAAAAGACCTCACCAAAAGAGTAAAAAGACATCCTACAGACTGGGAAAAAATTTTTGGCTACGACAAATCCGATCAGCTTCTAGTGTCTAAAATCTGCAAGATACTGCAAAACCTCAACAACAAAAAGACAAATAACCCAAATAAAAAATGGGCAAAGAATATGAACAGGCACTACACCAAAGACATTCAGGCAGGTAACAGACACATGAGGAAATGCTCACGATCATTAGCCTTCAGAGAAATGCAAATCAAAACTACAATGAGATACCATCTCCAACAAGGCTAGCATTAATCCAAAAAACACAAAATAATAAATGTTGGAGAGGTTGTGGAGAGACTGGAACACTTATACACTGTTGGTAGGAATGTAAAATGGTACAACCACTTTGGAAATTGATTTGGTGCTTCCTTAAAAAGCTAGAAACAGAAGTACCATACGATCCAGCAATCCCACTCCTTGGAATATACCCTAGAGAAATAAGACTGTCACACAAATAGATATAGGCACACCCATGTTCATTACAGCACTGTTGGCGATAGCAAAAAGATGGAAACAACCTAGGTGCCCATCAACAGACGAATGGATAAACAAATTATGGTATAGTCACACAATGGAATACTGAGCAACGATAAAGAGCAAGGATGAATCCGTGAAACATAACATGGAGGAATCTGGAAGGCATTATGCTGAGTGAATTTAGTCAGTCGCAAAAGGACAAATATTGTATAAGACCACTATTATAAGAACTCAGGAAAAGGTTTAAACATAGAAGAAAACATTCTTTGATTGTTACAAGGGTGGGGAGAGAGTAAAAGGGGTATTCACTAACTAGATAGTAGACAAGAATTATCTTAGGTGAAGGGAAGGACAGCACACACTACAGGGGAAGTCAGCATAACTTGACTAAACCAAAAGCTAAGAAGTTTCCTGAATACAACCAAACACTTTGAGGAACAGAGTAGCAGGGGCAGGGGTCTAGGGACCACGGTTCACGGGACATCTAGGTCAACTGGCATAACAAAGTTTATTAGGAAAATGTACGTATCCCACTTTGGTGAGTGGCGTCTGGGGTCTTAAAAGCTAGCAAGCAGCAATCTAAGATACAATTGATTGGTCCCAATCCACCTGGAGCAAAGGAGAATGAAGAACACCAAAGACACAAGGAAAATATTAGCCCAAGAGACAAACAGGGCCACATAAACAAAAGACTTCATCAGCCTGAGACCAGAAGAACTAGATGGTGCCCAGCTACCACCAATGGCCGCCCTGACAGGCAACACAACAAAGTCCCTGATGAAGCAGGAGAAACATAGGGTGCAGAACTTAAATTCTAGTAAAAACAGCAGACTTAATGGTTTGACTGAAACTGGAGGGACCCCAGAAGACATGGCCCCCAGACTCTCTGTTAGACCAAAACTAAAACCATTCCTGTGGTCAACTCTTCAGACAAAGATTAGAGTGGACTATGGGACATAAAATGATACTCGTGAAGAGTGTGCTTCTTAACTCAAGTAGATACATGAGACAAAATGGGCAGTTCCTGTCTGGAGGTGCGATGAGAAGGCAGAGAAGGTCAGAAGCTGGTTGAATGGACATGGAAAATCCAAGGTGGAAAGGAGGAGTGTGCTGTCACAGTATAGGGAGAGCAACTAGGGTCACATAACAACGTGTGTATAAATTTTTGTATGAGAAACTAATTTTAATGGTAAACTTTCACTTAAAGCATAACAAAAAAGAAAAAAGGACTAGTGACATATAAAAGAAAGAGGATGATGTCTTAGAATTGCCATGGAGTAAATTTCAGATACCAACAGTAAAAAAAAAGTAAGATAGAAAAGAATATATCCAGTAGCTACTGCACTGGGTTGAGAGAGAATGGGAAATAAGATCGTGTGTTTATCTGCTGAGTTTTGCAAAACAGAGGAAAGATAAACCAAAAACTAATAAAATGAGTTACCTGCAAAAGGTGGGGGAGAAACATGGTGGGAGGATAAGGAAAGGAATGGGCCTTCTCTGAATATACTTGTTTTAAACAGTTTAACTACATTACTGTTTCACATCTTTAAATTGGAATGAGAACTGTTTAATAGATTAGAGATTGGCAAGCTTTTTCTGTAAAAGGGCCAGATGGTAAATATTTTAGGCTTTGTGGGCTATTTCCAAGTCTTTATCGTATGTTTTTGTTTTTTACAAAAAATCCTTTAAAAATGTAGAAAACCATTCTTAGGTTGAAAACTATACAAAAACAGGTAGGCTGGATTTGGTCCATAGGCTGTAGTTTATCAACCCCTGTATTAGATAATACTGTATCAATGTTAAATTTCTTATGTGATAATTGTATTGTGGTTATAGAAGAGAATGCCCTTGTTCTTAGGAGATACATGCAAGTTTGTAGATATCACATACATGTGTACGTGTATATGCATGTACATACATATACATATCCATCTACACACACACACACACACACACACACACACACACACACACACACACACACACACACACAGAAAAGAAAAGGAGAGAGGAAGGGAGATAGCAAATGGAGCACAATGTTAACAACTGGTGAAGAATGGCACCCTGATGGCAGAGCGGTTAAGCGCTCAGCTGCTAACCAAAAGGTCAGCAGTTCGAATCCACCAGCCGCTCCTCGGAAACCCTATGGGGGCAGTTCTACTCTGTCCTACAGGGCTGCTATGAGTTAGAATTGTCTCAGTGGCAATGGGTTTGATTTTTTTTTTCTTTGGTGAAGAATATATGAGTGTTCATTGTATGATTCTTGCAATTTCTCTGTAGGTTTTAAGTTTTTCTAAAACGTTTGGGCAGGGGTAAAGGGGGACATAAAGCGACCTCTATGAGCTAAAGGATAGTCAGGATTCATAGTGGAAGTGGAAAGCAGGGGGAGGGAAAGAGCAGTGAAAATCGTTCCAGGCAGGGAGAATGCTGAGTGAGGGTCTGGAGGCAGAAAGTGTCCCAAGTTCTGGAAGTGGAAGAGATGAGACCAGCCCAGCCGAGTTCAAGGAGAAAATATTAAAACAAGGATGAATCGTTGTGACCAGATTTCCAAGGGTCTTGCCCGAGGTCTTCTAACTTCAAATCCTGTAACCTTCCCTTTATAGTAGTCTGCCAAGAAACAGTCTAAAATTTCTCATTTATTATCAAAGGAGGACACTAGGAAGTTTTCTGGGCAAGGAAGTAAACAAAAAGTTGTCTCTCAGGAAGCTCATCCTAATTCTCTAACCTTATTTCCTACCACTTCTCAAAGCATCCTCACTTTAGCCAAGTCTCACACGTATACCACACTCATTCTTGCTTAAATATTGTTCGTTGAGGCTGCGCCCGTCCCAGTCCATTAAATCGTAACCATTTCTCAAGGCTCCATTTAAATAGCACATACTAGAGGTAAGAAGCCTTACTCTAGTATCATTTTAGCATCTAAATGCTCTGAAATTGTTTGAGATTTTACTCCTTACATGGTAAGACCCTGAAGCTCAGAAACCTAGGGATCATCCTAGATTTCTTCTTCTCCCTCATTCCCCTGGACCTGAACCTTGATATTAGATGCTCCTCTACGCTTCCAAAGAACCTTGAATATTCCCATATCAGAAGACATAAGGGACTGTTTTGACCGTTGATTTTTACGACTCCCCCAGTGAGAGTGTACAGACAGGTCTTTGTGTCCCAAGGCCTAGCACGTTGAGAGTACTTAAAATTTATCAATGCAAAAAAAAGGGTTAGTGTGTTCATCTTTGTGTTTAGCACAACACTAAACAATGGGGATCAATCTCAGGATGAGGAGGAACCATAAGGGTAACCTGGCCAGCCACTCCGCCAATGGAATGAAAATTTCAACATATGTCCAATCAGTTCCTGGCCTACTGCTGTACTAACTCAACACTTTCACTTGAATTAATATTTTTAATCTACTCCTTTACCCCCATATTGCCCACTGTGACCCATTCACTTACTGTAGAGCTCCAACCTCTTCTTTGCCTTTGGAGTGACAGAATGGGCTGGAGTTTGGCAAGATTTGGAGGTGGAGTGCCTTGATTCAATCCTTTTGACCGCATGCTCTGCTGTAGTCCAAGCATGGCTTTCTGCACTCTTAGTCTTGGTTCCCATGGGCTTCTGGCTCCTGGGGCTGCTTTCTTGTAGCTTATCCAACTTAGCAAATAGTTCTGGGGACAGTGGTCTGAACTTCTTTTTGTTCCAGGATAGTTTCATAAAGAGTGTCTTTTCATTTTTCAAATCCACAGGTATCACTTCATCTGGGGCTAAAGCTACTACCTGAATTTAGGAAGTAATATGAGGGTAGAAGAGATCAGGACCAAAAGAGCCAAGAAATGCTCCATCAGAGCTATAACTGAAAAGTATTTGAGTCCCCATCTGTGCCTGGAACATTACTTTTTCAGTCTAAAGAGGCCTAGACGTGGCATAGCATATTGATAGAGAAAACCATGAGAATAGTTAAGATTTACTGAGCATTTACTCATTTAATCATTAATGGCTTTAAAGATGTCAACAAAATAGCTAGAGTAAATTATTCGTTTTGTTTCATTTTTGAAATGTTTATTGCCTTCACCTCTTAACTCCTACCACTCCTACCCTGGTTCAATTACACATCATCTCACTCCGCTATTACTTCCATAGACTCCTCCCAAGCTGATATCCATACCCAACAATGCTTTTTTTTCTACTCCATTCTATTTACCCATGACAAATTTTCCCACAAAAACTTTCCTAAGCGCAATAGTCTTTCCTTGTCTCACTAGCCTATAATGGCTCTCAACTGTAGCAAGATTAGATTGTTCATTGATTCTGCCTCATGGTGACCCTGTGTGACAGAGTAGAACTGTTCCATAGGGTTTCAAGGCCGCGATCTTTCAGAAATAGCCTACTAGGCCTGTCTTCTGAGGCAACTCTGGGTGGGTCTGAATTGCCGACCTTCACTATTTGTGCTGAGGGAGCAAGATCAGATTACGTAACTGGTTTATAATGTCTTCTAAAATCTAGCACCATCTCACCCACTGAATGCTCAAAAACAAAAATAAACCAAACCCATTGCTGTTGAGTCAATTCTAACTCATAGCAAACCTATAGAACAGAGTAGAACTGCCCCACAGGGTTTCCAAGGAGTGGCTGTTCGATTCGAACTGTCAACCTTTTGGTTAGCAGCCAAGCTCTTAACCACTGCGCCACACCAGGGCTCAGTTCTCCTCAAAATAGCCTTCCATCACTAGTCAAGCTGGGCTTCTCAGGGTCCCGTTCCATCCCACCATCATACTCCTGCCTAAAGTACTGTTTCCCTCTCCTCTGCCTTTCCAAATCTACCTAACCTGCTGTTTCAACTTCTACATCTGCCCTTCACTACTTAGCTTTCTCTTTCATTGATCTTCCTCAGAGATAACACTATTTTATAGCATATATTATGGTGGGTCCACAGTCTGGAAAAATCTGAACAGAGCCCTGCCAGGCCAAAGCCTCTCTGCTCTACCATTAAACCAAACATATGAATCACCATACAACCACAGTTCACATAATGATCTAATCCCACTTTTGAGACCTGAAGTAGCTCTAGGAATAACCAATATCGTTAGTCTTCAAAGAGGAGCCCTGGTGGTACAGTGGTTAAAGCGCTTGGCTGTGAACCAAAAGGTTGGCGGTTTGAACCCATCAGCTGCTTCGCAGGAGAAAGATGCGGCAGTCTGCTTCCATAAAGATTTACAGCCTTGGAAACCCTATGGGGCAGTTCTACTCTGTCCTATAGGGTCACTAAGACAGAATCAACATGATAGCAGTAGGTTTGGTTTAGTCTTCAAGCTGGTGTCTCAATTCAGCCTACAAACCAGCAGCTCATCAGCACCTGTTTTACCGTAAAATCTCATAACACAAATTTGCTAGCAGCAACTAGCACTCTACTGATTTACTCAAGGTGAAGTACTCATTTAAGTAATCGTATTTAGCCTCACAACGCTTGATGCTGGCTACAACATAGCTAAATATAATTTCCCACTAAGATACATTTGTTAATTCCTGTTCATCTCTTAGGTCACAACCTAAATGTCACTTCCTCTAGGAGGCTCCTAACACATGATAAGTGCTCTCAATAAATATTTCTTGAGATTCAGCAGGCAGGCAAGCAGAGAAGACAGGTGAAAATTCATTTCCTGTGGGGTAAATTAGAGCCAGTAATATTTTTGAGGCCATGCAGTTTAGGAAGCAGAAGTAAGTTTCACGACAGAACTGACGACCAAGGCACCACCTACCCGCACGGGGCCAATGATGGTCTCGGCATTAATGTTGTCGTCACAGGCAGGGTAATCATACCAGAATATCTCCTGCGCTGCAGGCTTCCGGCCCAACAAATGCTGTTTACAAACAGGAATCTCACAGAATCGGACACACCATTGTACTCGAGCACGTTTCTTAGAATAAGGTTCAGAATCTAGGAGAGAGATTAGGTGGAAATAAGGAAGAATATTTGCAAACATACCTACTAAAATAAACTTATTGACCATTTCCTATATGCTAGATCCTGCGCTGAACACTCAACATGCATCATCTCATAATAACCCCACAAGGTAGGTGCTATGGCTATCCCCCTCTTACAGGTGAAATCAAGTTACAGGACTGTAAATAATTTGTCAAAGGTCCCAGTGATCTGACTCCACCCATGCTCTTCCCACTTTGCTCTTAACCAGACCTCATCAGTGATTATAAATAAGCCATCAAACAGCAGCAAAGTGAAAATCTGAGCAAGGACTAGCGTAACGGCCACTGAGACTAAGATGACGTCTGGCAAATGTTTGCTTATATCTTCAGCTGTAACATTATAATACACTGCTAGTAACACTCCACAGCAGCATCAGCTCCCAGTAAAAGGACATACACTCTCGAGTGCCACCATCATTCCCCTTCTCTCCCTTAGCTCTCTTCAAAGACTGAAGCCATCCTATGGAGCATCACACAATGATTCTAAAATCTATGCACAAAACACTAATCTGCTGCTGATATGCTCCCCATGATGGACAGTAGTTTGATAAGGAGTTTCTTCATGCCTTGCAAATACCCCTCCAATCTGTGTAATGTAAAACATCTTTACCCACTCATGCTATCAGTTCCTTCTTTTAGGCATCCAAACTACCATCAGACTATCTAACTGCCACAATCTTTCCTCTCCTACCTCTGGGAAGATGCAGTTTTGTGTAGTTTCAAATTACCATCTTTCTTCTTAATCCTCCTTTTGGAGTCCCACCCATTCCCACCTTTCTGTGCTCTCCTGCTTTGCAGAGGGATAGAAGCTCAGAAATTCAGCTGAGGCTGTGAGTGTGGGCTCGTAGGCTCTGGTTAACACCATCTTTCCTCTTACTCCTCCAGCAGTAGTGGCTTCCTGCACATACTGATCTCAGGACAACATCATCTTCCCTCTTTTGTTCCCCTAGCCTTTTCAACAATTGTAATCAAATCCTTCTGAGTAAAACACCTGAAGTGTTTTTATTTCCCTGACTGAACACCAACTAATACACTTTCCCAATCTGATTTATCTCCTTCCTTGTAAAGAGGTTGGACCCCTGGTGGTGGAGCGGTTAACAGCTCGGCTGCTTACCAAAAGATCAGCAGTTCAAATCCACCAGCTGCTCCTTGGAAATCCTGTGAGGTAGTTCTACTCTGTCCTATAGGGTGACTATGAGTCCGAATTGACTTGACAGCATGGGTTTGGTTTTTGAAAAGAGGTTGCCCTTGCAAAATTCATTACTGACTTTCACATGCCACAGTTACAGGACACATCTCTATAATAGTGCAAAGCACCTGTTTTTTTCCCATTCATCCTTTCTCCCACTTCCAAAAATATTGCCTTAATGGTCATTCTTACTCCTAACAATGATGGCAAATCTAAATTCTTGATCCCTGTAATCCCATTTTACCCAATGCTGTTCTGGTGAGTGTAGAGATTCACTAGACGGAAGAAGGTCGTTGTCGTCAAGTGCCGTCGAGTTGGTTCCAACTCATAGCAACCCTATGTACAACCAAACGAAACACTGCCCGATCCTGCACCATCCTCATAATCGTTGTTATGCTTGAGCCCATTGTTGTGGCCTCTGCGTCAATCCATCTCATTGAGGGTCCCCCTTTTTTTCACTGACCCTCTACTTGACCAAGCATGGTGCCCTTCTCCAAGGACTGATCCCTCCTGATACCATGTCTAAAGTATGAGACAAAGTCTCGCCATCCTTGCTTCTAAGGTGCATTCTGGCTGTACTTTTTCCAACACACATTTGTTCGTTCTATTGGCAATCCATGGTATATTCAATATTCTTTGCCAATATCATAATTCAAAGGTGTCAATTCTTCTTCAGTCTTCCTTATTGATTGTCCAGCTTTTGCATACATATGAGGTGATTGAAAACACCACGGCTTGGGTCAGGTGCACCTTAGTCTTCAAGGTGACATCTTTGCTTTGGAAGAAGGTACAACTAGTGTTTAAGTGACCCCACTTTACACTCAAAGGTGCCCTGAGTGCTACCGAGAACACAGGAATCAGCAACTTCCCTTCTTCCTCGCCGATTAGCACTTCCCAGTCATTCACGTCAAGAAACAGTTTTCACTCCGGCCCCAAACTCACCGTCTTCAAACAACTCGATCAATTTAGCAACATATGGATATTTTTCATAATCGCCTTCAATCAGCACAAACTGTCCAACTTGGATGTGAATCTGAGTCGAACAACCTTCTATTTTCACACACATTTCACTGGAAAGTAACAGAGAAGCACATAAGGAAATCACTTAGGGCGGGCCAAGCTCTTCAGACCCTCTGGGCAGAGGAAAATGCTCTCCAGCTGGAAAATCCCCTAACTAGTTTCTCTCTGCTGACCACTCTCCTACCAGGAAACCAATTTACCTAGTTACATGCAAGACTAGGGGAAATAGGTTGAATGAACTGTTTTGGAACAAGTGAAGAACCCAGAGGATTTTATATGAACCCCAACTTCTCTCAATTATTGACACAGAACGACAAAGGCTTCCCAAGGTTGGAAAGCCACCCAATAACCATATTAAATTGCTCAGAGAGTTCTAGAGCTGGGGAGAACATAGTACCAAATCTAATTCTACTCTGTTATCCTGCAGAATTACACAGAACTCACCTTAAATTTATATGACATTATTATACATATCAAATTTTATTAACCTGCCACAACAATTTCTCCCCCCATCCCAAACTGCTATATCTATGCTGCCATCAGACAGAATCCCACCTTACAATCAGTTCTTATCTATTGCCCCTCGATCCTCAATCTGTAGTCACTAGAACAGGCTGGATATAACAAGCTGGAAGGGAAAGGAAGGGAGAGGAAGAGGTTGCACTTGCAAAACTTATTACTGACTTCCACATGCCAAAATTATAGGACACATTTCTATCATAGTGCAAAGCACTTATTTTCCCCCCTTCCCATCCCTCCATTTCTAGGACACCCCATCACTTACTTGTAGGTTTGGTAGTGTAGTTTTCGATCCAACAATGGCCTGCCAACCCATGAATAAGTTTGTCTGGTCTTCAGTCTTGTGGCGTAGTATGCCATGGCTCCTGTGTAAAAGTCAGAGTTACATGACAGTGCTCTGATGGATTCTAGGGACTAGTCCCTGCCTTCAATGAGTTCAGTCTTCTTTTCTGCGCTGCTAGAAAAGCCCACACATTTTAGACTTAGGAGCTTTTTCTACAAAGGAAAAGGTCAACCTCTAATCAAGATAAAACACAGGCAATTTAGTATCATCTGTGTCTGTCTCAGAGCCCTGGTGACGCAGTGGTTAAGAGCTCAGCTGCTAACTAAAAGGTTGGCAGTTCGAATCCACCAGCTGCTCCTTGGAAACCCTATGGGGCAGTTCTACTCTGTCCTATAGGGTTGCTATGAGTCAGAATCGACTCGACGGCAACAAGTTTTTTTTGGTTTTTGGTGTCTGTCTTGTACTTTGCTGTGTACCTCATCCCACCCCAGGGATTCAGGAGGGAGAGTTAATACATAAGAAAAGAAATATAAATGTTTAAAAGTATTTACTAGGTATGAGGCACAACGATAGGTGAGAATTACATAACAATATGGAACTAAAGACAGTGATACAGTGATTGTAAGTATCTTTACAACACTTATAATCTAGAGATAAAACATAAATGCTCTAAAGCAACGTTGCAACATTTCCTTGTTCTGTTATACATGGCAATTAAAACAACAACATCATCGAAGGACAACTAACAGTAAGAAGTGAAAGAAAGTATTAGTGGAAGCTAGAGGTCAGGTCTCGTGGGTGTGGAGGAAGGGCTTCCCACAGGGGCTTCCTGACCTGAATACTAAATAAGAGTAGATGCAATGAAATGAGGGATTCCAAGGAATGGAGACAAAAACATGCAAGCTGCTTTTGGGGGAATGACGAGGGATTTTATCACATATATCTTCCTACTTACATTAAAAGAAAAAATCAGGGTCACTAACCTGTACTGCTCTGGCAGTTGGAAAGTATTTTCCTTTGCAGCTGACAGATCTTGGATGAGTATTGTAAACAGCTGAAATGAAATGCTTGCATTAAAGTATATGGAAAAAAGGATATTTTTAGTGTTAAAAACAGAAATGTGAATGAAAACCTATCTGATAATCATCTTTATAATTTGGAAACTGAAATCTAGACTTAATAAGAATTCTGGTCCATTATCTTTAAGCTTAAGTAATTAAAAAAATAATAAACCTTTCCCCTGAATTAAATATTTTTCTTATGGAGCTAAAATTTAGCAAATCTGGGGTTGAAAAAAAAAAAACCTCATAGAATTACTTTGAACTCCTATAGAGAGTCCAATAATACCAGTCTAGGCTGAAAACAACAGAGTTAGAACAGTGTATCAACATCCTAATTAAACAAGCTGGTTTCCTAAAGTTCAGTGGCATTATGTTCCACATTATATTTGGGAACATTTTGACTCATAAGATTTTCTGCTTTTAAAGGTATCTTTTAGCATACTTTGAAGAAACTAACAGCAAAAAGAAAAAGAGAAGATATTGAGGCCTTGTTAGTATATGGCTTACAAAAGATGTATGAATGATTGCTATTAAGTACATTTACGTACAGTATAATTCACAACATACTACTATTAAAAATCAATCTAATTTTAATTAAGTACATTGTAGAAATAAAGAACAAAGAACTGATTGATGAGTAAAACCAAATAGAATACTTGCGCTCAAGTGAAAAATGAATTTGGATGCATAATATCCAATAATCTTTTGGTAAAAATTAGTAAAAGTGCTTGAATCTGAATAATTGTTCAAGAAAATATATAACACTAACTTACAGATCACTATGAGTTGGAATCGACTCAACTGCAATGGGTTTGGTTTTTGGTTTGGTTTAATGGATGATGTAACATGGAACAGTCAGAAGTAAGCTGGAACTTTTCATCTTTTCCACAGTGAAATCAAGCAAAAAAGCTACTGAGACACAAAAGATTCAAGTAAACTGCAGTACTCACTAAACTCTCTCATTGAAAGAATGGGAAAATCAGAGACTGTTTTGCAGCAAATTAGTATTTCCTAGCAAACCTTCTACAATTCTTTAATGATCTGATTGTTGGATAGACAATCTGATTTGCTACACTGACTATAGCATTTGATTTCACTGGCACAGTGATCTTATTTTTCAAACCAAAAAACCAGCATACAGAAGGCCTGTTTCCATATCTATAAAGTACTCAAATTCATGCTGTCAACTGTTGTAAATCCAGGTTTTATTTCAGTTTACTACAGCAGGTGTCCTTCTCCAAAAACTAAGCCACCATACGGTTTAACATTCATTTCCAGTAGACCATGGGCTGGGTGCACTGAGACCAGCCAGTATATGCATATGTGTGTGAAAGGGTGGGTGACTGTCCCTAGGCTGAGCAGGCAGGGATATAGGGAGGAAGACTAACTGGACTGCAGAACCTGCCTCCACCTCTGCCTGTTACTCTGCTCCAGGCCTGTTTTCCAAACCTGAAACAGATCAGGGTTGTTACTGCCCTCAGACTTTTGCAGTTGCTATCGTCTCTTCTACACATCTTTGCAGGGATGGCTCAAGTCTCAGCTCCAATGTCACTTCCTCAGAGAGGTGTTCGCTGACACCCAGTTGAAAGCTACCCACTGCCCCCCTTTATGCTATCCCTCAAGGATCATGTTCCATTATACCACTCTATTTTACTTTTTATCAAAGCAATAACCATTATGCTGTATTTTCTGTGCTTCCCACATTAGAATGTAACTTCCAAAAGAGCAGGGACCCTGTCTATTTTAATTCATGACTGCATCCTCAGGGCCTAGGTCAGGACGTGGCACACAGTAGGTGAAAGACTGACTGAATGACATCAACTAACTGGTTTTCAAAATCATCAGGAGGACAATCATCAGGAACAAAGGACATAGAGCAACCGGAACTCTCATACCCTGCTGGAGGAAGTGGATATTGGTACAATCACTTTGGAAAACTGGCCATATCTACCAAAGCTGAACATATGCATACCCTGTGATTCAGCTATTTCATTCCAAGGAATACACCCAACAGAAACACACATATATCATCAAAAGGTGTGAACGAGAAGGTTCCTAGCAGCACTACACAGCAATGAAATTGAAGCAACTACAATTGCATGCAACAATGTGGGGGAAACCTCACAAAATAAAGTTGAGCTAGAGAAACAAGACACCAAAAGAATACATACTATATTGGTTCCATTTATATAAAGTTCAAAAGCAGGCAAAAGTAATCCATATTGTTAGAAGCAGGAAGAGAGGCTAGCCTAGGTAACCGAAAGGCAGGGTGGCTTCTGGGATGCTGGTAATGTCTCTTGATCTGCATGTTGGATCCACGGGTATATTCTCTTTGAGAAAAATCATTATACTGTACATTTATTATTTGTGCACTTTTCTGTATGTGTTATTCTTCAATGAAAAGCTCAAACAAGTCATTAGGAACTCTTCTAAAGAGGCAGCATAAGGGAATCAGAGCCTCTTGTACTCCACTCTTTTACCAACCCAGCATTTCATCTCATCTACCATCAGCAGAGAGATTCCCCAAGAAGGGTGGTGGATGGGGTGGGAAGGCAGGCCTGACTCAACCATGCAAAAGGCTTTGGCATCTAGAAGATACCCACTACAGGCTCTGGATGTCACAGATACTGGAAATCTGGAAGATACATGCCACCCAGTCCAAAGGACACACCCAAGAAAAATAGATAATTTAGCTGCAGTAAAAACAATGATACCAAAAACCAAACCCATCTCCATCGAGTCAATTCTGACTCATAGCAATCCTATAGGACAGAGTAGAACTGCCCCATAGGGTTTCCAAAGAGCAGCTGGTGGATTTGAACTGCCGACCTTATGGTTAGCAGCCAAGCTCTCAAGCATGGCGCCACCAGGGCTCCAAAAATAATGATAGCAGATATTTATTGAGCCAATATGACAGAAGGCTGGGCCAAAACTCTTGACATATTTATCTCATTTAATTCTCACAATAATCCTAGAACAATGTTGGTACATAGTAAGTACACAGTAGCTGCTCAATAATAAATATTTGCTAAATGAGAGGTAGCTGCTATTATGTCTTCCAAGGTGACAACTTGTCCAAGGTTATACAGAGTGGCACAGCCTTAACTGAAACTCTGAACAGATTCCAGTTGACTACGCTCTTAACCACTTCACCTTACTGTGAAACTGGATAATGTTAATACATGCGAGAGAGCTCACTTCTGGCGTGTTTATTGTAACAAGTTAGGTTTCCTAAGCCACTGAGAAGTCAACTGAATCTCAATTTCTTTACCCACAAAATGGGGATAATTTTTTAAACACCCACTGTGTGCCAGAAACTATTCTAGAATTGTTGAGGATTAAGCAAGAAAAATGCATAATTGTAAATTCACTCCCCTACTCCCTTAATCCCTTGCATTTATTTGTAAGGGGCAATGGTTTCTGGGTTTTTTTTCTTTCAATCATTTCATGAATGTTATGGAACTCACATACAATTCACACAAAATTTTGCATTCAATTTCAGGGGATTCATAAACCTTCTGAAGTTCACATATTGCCTCTGTTACAGTTCAAAACTGTTGCAGAGAGGTTTGGTTAACTGTGCTGTCACATCCGAAACCTCCACTGGCGTTCACAATCACTCAACAAAACAAACAAAAGCGCACTATTAATCATTTTTTACAGACAAGATAAAATTAACATATCTAATCACTGCCGTTTCACAGATGGTAGCGTAAGGTAAGAAAACATTGCTTTTGCCAACTGTCACGTCTTGCCCTCAATTCCGGGATCGGCCTAGGGTAAGTGGGAAAAGTGCCATTAAAATTTTCTCCTTGAAAAAAAATGTGGACGAGAGCCCAGCAATTAAGAGCAACTGATCCCGAGAAAGACCTAGGTAGACGCCCAGGACGCTTAGCCACAAAAAGCGACCTAGAAATGTTTCTGGGCACAATCGCTATATCCGTAGAATGGGGTAATAACTTTTGCTATTCTGCCTTCCCTGTAGTGCAACAGTAATGCTCAGAGGAGGAAACAGATGAGAGTGCTTTACAAGGGGCAACACAGATGGAAGGAACGGTTAAGAGCATTTGTTGAGAGTCTCAGGGTGCTGAGGGCAGGAATGCTTACGACGCTGTAGGCTTCCGGCTTCCCCATTGCAAATTCTCAGTCCCTGGCGAAGCGGGAAGCATTTTAGGAATTGGCATGGGGGAAAAAAGAACCCTTTTGCCAGACTTAGAAAAGCGCCTGGCACTTAACAGGCGCTTAGTAAATGTCTGCTGAATGAATCAGTGAATATGTGAGTCTATGGTGAACATCCTCAGTTCTAAGGGCTCAGGTCTGCCTCCAGCCCGCAGACTCACCGGGCGACCGAAGCTTCCTCGGGCTGGGCGCAAGCCCTCCGCTTCCCACTGCCTCCGCTTCAGGAGCTCCTGGTGCTGCAGCAACTCTAACTTGTCCCAGCTGGACACCTCCTCTTACAGCCACGAGGATCAAGGCCGAGCAGCACGCCAGAGGAAAAGCCAATGCTTCCCTAAGGACGGAAATAAGAAGATGGAGAAAAGAAAATTTCGCGCCAAACGACGTAGTCCCGCCCCCAGGCGGTCTCCATGTTACGTCACCAACCAGCTAGCCCGTCCCGCCCACCTAGCGGGGACGCATGACGTACGTCGGCCAACGTGCAGCGGCCATCATTGAATCGGGCGGTGTTTCCGTTTGCGGAAGTTAGTTCCTTCCACTTCAGTGTTTCCGGCTTCAAAATGGTCGCCTCAGCGATTTAGTGAGACGGTGCACATTTTTCCATCCCCATCGGGTTGTTGTTGTGTTTTGCTTTGTTTGTTTTTTTTTAACCTGGATGTGACGCATTAAAGGACCCGACGGAAATATAGCTGTAGGCTTTCTAAGATGGCGAACCGTACGGTGAAGGATGCACACAGCATCCACGGCACCAACCCTCAATATCTAGTGGAGAAGATCATTCGGACGCGCATCTATGAGTCCAAGTACTGGAAAGAGGAATGCTTTGGACTTACAGGTGAGCGGGAGCGCGAGGACCCCCTCAGCGGCTTGTGACCCACCTCTACTGACTGGGCACTGAATAGGATTGGCCCCTGGGAGCAGGACTGGCTCAGTGTCGGTGGGTAGGATTGGAGAGGAGTGTGTCAGTCATGAAAAGGAGCCCCGGTGGAGCAATGATTAAGCGAGAAGAACTCATCAGCTGCTCAGCGGGAGAAAAGACCTGGCTATCTGCTCCGTAAAGATTTCAGCCTAGGAAACCCAATGGGGGGCCGTTCTACTCTAGCCTGTAGTGTTGCTGTGAGTCGGAATCGACTGGACGGCAGCGGAGTTTTATTTATTTATTTTTAGCATTGATGCGATCTTCCTTAAGAAATCAGACAGCAAGTTCCTTTAGCATAAATTCTATAGCTATTAATTCATTAAACATTATACGTTACAGTTTATAGCTAGGCACTGTGCTGAGTACTAGAGATACAGGTACAGGGATATACAAGACAGACACAGTGACTGCTGTTAATGAGTTTATCGCTTAGCAAGGCAGAAAGTATGAAAAAAGAAAGTATGATGAGTAGTTGAAAGAGGCAGCAGAACGCACTAAAAATGTACAAGAGACCCTAACCTAGTGTTGGGGGTGGGGGGAACCAATGCTGTAGCGATCCTAGGACAGAGTAGAACTGCCTCATAGGGTTTCCAAGCCTTTAATTTTTACGGAGGCCGACTGCCCCATCTTTCTCCGGTGGAACGGCTGGTGGGTTTAAACCGCCGGACATTTCATTTAGCAGCCGAACACTTTTAACCACTGCGCCACCAGGGCTCTGTTGGGAAAAGGAGTGGTGGTTATGCTTCTCAGACGTTTTGTTAGGAGCTGAACTGTGTCAGGTATTTAGCATTTTATGTATATTATCTCATTCGATCCTCACTACAATACAGTGGAGCTGACAGGCTCAAAGTGAGAGAAAATGACTTGCCTAAGTTCACACAGCTAGTGTTTGAGTTTTGACAACAATGTTGAAAGGTTATTATCGCCATTCTGTAGATGAGAAGAAGTTTCTTCAAGGCTATGTAGCTATGGAGGAGTTTTGTTTTTTTTTTAACTTTTAATCGAGTGATTTCTTTCCCTAGCATGATGGTGATGAGCTTGGACTCTGAAGTAAAACTGCTTGGATTTAAATCCAGGCCCTGCAACTTTCTGGTTGTGGACCTGGAGCAAGTTACTTAACCTTTCTTAGGCCTCAGTTTCCTTATCTCAAAATAGGGAACAATGCTAGAACTTACCTTATGGCTTGTTGTGAAGATTAAATGAGATAATATGAAATGCTTAGCTAAGTACCTGGCACACTGTAAGCCCTCAATTATATTAGGTGCTACCGTTATTGTCATGGAGCTCTGGTGGCACAGTGGTTAAGAGATACGGCTGTAACCAAAAAGTTCAGCAGTTCAAATCCACCAGCCACTCCTTGGAAACCTTATAGGGCAGTTCTGCTGCCCTATAGGACCGCTGTGTTATTGTTACTGTTATTAATACGCACTTGCTCTCCTAATATTAAACTGTTGGTGAGTGTTCTGGAGCACCAACCCATGAACTAACTTCTCTCCACTTCAAACCGGGAAAAGCTTAACCCTAAATTATCTGAGATGGCACTTTATTTGTTCTGTTTTTCTTTTTCTTTTTTTTAGCTGAACTTGTAGTTGATAAAGCCATGGAGTTAAGGTTTGTGGGTGGCGTTTATGGCGGCAACATAAAGCCAACTCCTTTTCTGTGTTTGACCTTGAAGATGCTGCAAATTCAGCCTGAGAAGGATATCATTGTAGAGTTTATCAAAAATGAAGACTTCAAGTGAGTGCATCGTTGACTAGCTAATACAAGAGCATCGGTTTTGGACAGCCTGGACTTTGGTTAAGAGAATGTACATAGTGTCTCTCATTTCCACAGAGGCCTCCACTCCAGGGTTTTGCTTTTGAGTCCTTGAATTTGTGTTTTGCCTGTTCTGACTGAACTGATGTTCTCCTTTACTTTCTTAATCTTGGTAACTTTTCCACAAAGAAAGGATTTCTTTACTAATTCACTGAACGTATATTAAGCAGGAGTGAGTGCCTAATGTGTTGGTAGGCCCTGGACTTTCAAAGGTGAAGAAAACAACATAGTGCGGTAGATAAGAGGGAAAACTTTGGTGTCAGACAGGTCTGTCTACACCATAGTTAGGCTCTGTCTCTTATTAACTATGACCTTGGAGAAATTGCTTAATTTTCTAAGCTTTATTTTCTTTTTCAGTAAAATCAGGATAATAATACCTACTCCTAAGATTGATATTAAAGAAGATAATGCGTGTAAACCAGTCAACACAGTGCCTGTTACAGTATAAACACCCAAAAAATGTCAGTTGCTGTAATTATTTTTCATCCTTGAGCTTATAGACTACTGTAGGAGACAGACATAATAGCTTATTATATGCCATGCTCTAAGGGCTTTAACCCTCACAACATATAATTCATTTAGTTCTCACAACAGCCCTGTAAATAAATATTATCCCCATTTTACAGATGAGGAAACTGAGGCACAGAGAGCTTAAGTAATGTACCTAAAGTCAGACAGCTAGTAAGTGGCAAAGCTGGCTTCAGAGTTTGTGTTCTTTGCTGTATTATTCTGCTTCCCATTTAAAAAACAAGTGGAATACAGTGTGTTAAGTGTTTTTATAAGTGTATACAATATGCTATGAAAGAAGGGATGGGGAGAAGGGAGCATCTAATTCAGTCTGGGGTTTGGGATTCTCAGAGAAAGAAAGTGATCCTTAAACTGAGTTTTGGAGGAAGCAGTGTAGAGGGAAAAAGATGGAGGCAGAGAGGCGTGAAGAAGTATACCATGTATGTCAAGTACAAGTAGTCCTGAGTATTTTAATTAAGTCAGTGGGCACTTGGGATAGTAGCAAAGTCAAGAATAGAGAGATTGAGGCATAGGCCAGGTTATGAGTGACTTTTTATATAAAGCTAATGGTTTGGCCTTTATCTGGAACTACAGCAAGTTATGAAAAGATTTTAAATAGAAGGAATTATTGTTGTGTTTTCAGATAGTTGGCTCTGGCAGCAGTGTGAACAGTAAACCAGAGAATGGCCAGACAGGAACAGCCAAGAGGAGGCTAGTGTAGTCAGCCAGCTACAGTTAATGAAGTTCTGGATCAAGGCAGCCAGAGGAGATGATGATATGTGACGCTTGGAAGATGTAAAAGTGGAAGAACAGAATTTGATGATTGATTCGATGTGGAAGGGTGAGGAAGGCACCAAAGGTGATTACTACATTTCTCACTTGGATAATTAGATAATTAGATAGATGATGGTGGCACCCACCAAAGATGGAGAGCAGAATGTTAGATGGTTATCCTCAAGGAACTTGGGGAAAAGAAAGTGTTCCTCTAGCCATGTTCCTCCTCTCAGTAACAGGACAGCACCCTCTAGCAAGCCAGAAACTTAGGAGTCATCCTTCATTCCTTTGTATACAATCACTAATTTCTGTAAATTCCATCCCCTAAATATATCTTTTCTGCTGATTATAAAATAAAGATATGCATTGTTGAAAATTCACAAAGTACAGAAAAGTTAAAAAGTAGGGAGGAAAAAATCTATAATCTTACCTCACAGAAGCAACCACTATCAATATTTTGGCATATTTGTTTTCAGTGCTTTTTTAACATAATTCACTGCTCCCTCCCACCCACCTCGTAGGTAGTTAAGATGATTATAGCTGTCTTTTGAATGTGTCCTCTCCTCCCCTTCCATTTCTCGATTCAGGCTTTATCATTGCTCACCTTGTAGCCATGTAGTGGTCTCTCTGATTCTAGTCTCATTCCTTTCAGAGCTAGGATGATCTTTCTAAAACCCTACCTGACACCTAAGGGTAAAAAATAGAAGAAAAGCAGGTCTAGCCTAGGAAATTAGTTGTTTTAAATGTGTTCAATTTCAGCAATTTGTACAACATCCAGCTGGAAATTTTCAGGAAAAGGTCTGGATTTGGGAATGAATAGAATGTAAGTATAGTTAAAACTTCAGAAGAAGGATGAGATTTCTTGTAGCAAAAACAGACAAACAAAAAACTAATTTACTCTTTGAATACATGGTATGTTCATATGATTTAGAATTCCAAAGTATAAAAATACATTCATTGAAATGTCTCCTTTTTCACTGTCCTCAGGCCATCCAGTTTTCTTCTGTTGAGGAAGCCAGTATTATCAGTTTCTTATGTTACCTCCCAGAAGGTTCATGCATATATAAGCAAAGAGATAGCTATGTTTTATTTTTCCATTTTTGTACACAGATTATAGCATGTTATATACTCTTCTGTATTCCTTTTGTTGTTTAATAGTAGATCTTGGAGATTCTTCCATATCAGTACTCATAGTCTTTCTCATTCTTTTTAATGCATGTATAATATTCTATTATAGGGACAGCATAGTAAGAGCTAATACTTGTTATATCCCAGGCACTGTTTGAAGCACTTTAGGTATGATAGATTATTTAATCTTGACAATAATTATATGAAGTAGGTACTTTTATCCTTTCTATGTTAAAGATAAAACAATGACACTGAGGCACAGAGCCATTAAATAACTTCCCCAGGGTCACGTAGCTGGTTAAGTTCCAGAGCTAGGATATGAATCTGGACAGTCTGGCTGTAGAGTCCATGCTCTTAATCATTATGCTAAACTGTCTCTCATAGTGCTACTATTGTCCCCATTTTACAGAAGAGGAGACTGGGGCAGAGGTAGGATTTGAATCCAGGCAGTTTGACTCCAGAGTCAAGTGTTCTTAGCCACTGTACTATACTGCTTCACAATTACAGATGTACCATAATGAATACTTACATTGTTTCCAATCTTTTGCTATAATGAATAACCATGTACTTAGTCATTTTGTGTTAGATTATTTGTAAGATGGTCAGAAAATGACTTTTGAGCAGAAACCTGCATGTGAGGGAGCCAGTCATTCCACATCTGGGAGAAGAATGTCTCAAGCAGAGAGAACAACAGGTGCAAAGGCTGGGAATAGTGATGAGTTTGGCATATCGGGGAACAGCCAGCTAGCATGACTGGAGTGCAGGGAGCTTCAGACGAGGGAGGCAGGGCGACATCATTAGGACCTTGTGGCTGTGGTACAGTCTTTGGATTTATTCTAAGTGTGATGGGAAGCCATTGGACTGTTGATATTAGGGAAATGATGTGATATGACTTACACTGTAGAGGAATCTCTCTGGTTGTTGTATGGAGACAAGACTGGGTGGGGTTGGAGAAGCGTGCAAGAATCAAAGCAGGGAAACCAGTTAGGAGGCCAGTGTAATCCAGACAGAAGTTAATGGTGGCTGGAACGAGGATGGTAGCAGTGAAGGTGATGACAAGTGGCCAGATTGTGGTATATTTTGAAGGTAGGGCTGGCAAGGCTTGCTGATAGATTGCATGTAGGATATAAAGGGAAGAAAGGACTAAAGGATGACTACGATTTTATCAGCTTGAGCGTAGATAATGCCGCTGTATACTATAATGAGGAACACTAGAGCAGGGAAATTAGGAGTTTTCAAACTGTCGAGTTACAGATGCCTTCAAAGTGGAGATTTGAGTAGGTAGTTGGATATAGAAGAAATGGAAAAAGACTCTTAGAGAATATTATAGCTACAAAATAGCTAACTTTTATTAGGCACTTACTATGTGTTATATGCTACGCTTGACACTTTACGCACATTTCTCATTTAGTACTCACCCCAAGCCAGTAAATTAGGTACTGTCATCTCTGTTTTACAGGAATTGAGAGAGCAAGAAACTTGTCAAGTGTCACATAGTTAGTAAGTAATAAAATTAGAATTTGAACCCAGATCACTTTTTTCCAGAACCAGCATTCTGCTGCCTGGCAACAATTTATATATTCATGTCTATGTATACTAGTTTTTATATTGTTATTTAATCTTACACCTTCTGTTGTTACATTCAAGATCTGATTAGATTCTTACAATAATCCTGTGAGGTAAATATGTGTTACACCAGTTGTACAGATGATATAATAAACTCTGAAAATTTAGCAAGTTCCCACAGTTGGTAAGTGATAGAGTGGGAACTTGAACCTTGGTCTTCATATTTTAGCTGTCTTTCTACCACCCCATGCTGCCTTCCAAAGAGGAGAAAGAACTTGTTAATCCACTGCTGTCATAAGAAAAGCCAGTGGTAAAACTCAGGAGCTTCTCAGGATAGTCCGTTGTTTCACTGTCATGTATCTTTCAGGTATGTCCGCATGTTGGGGGCACTTTACATGAGGCTGACAGGCACTGCAATTGATTGCTACAAGTACTTGGAGCCTTTGTACAATGACTATCGGAAAATCAAGAGCCAAAACCGAAATGGGGGTAAGTACGGTGCCGAGTGTATAGACCCTCATCCCTGAGCAGTTTTTATTTCATCTCTACCCTCACATGGTCTCGCTGTGAGTGCACCTCTTCGTTCACATTGTTACTGTCTTCAGGTCCTCCATCTCCCTCACGGGGAGTACTCTAGGTGACTGTTAATGTTCTGTTGGCCTTACCCTGTCTTCCCCATCTGCCTGCTTTTCTCACTGCATCTTGTTATTCCCTGACTTGCATCATGAGCTCCTTCTACACTAATCTCACTCTTCTTGAACTTGTCTTGTTCCTTTCATGCCTTTGTTCATGCTCTGCAAATTACTGCTCATCCCACTGGATCTAGCTCCAGAATTACCTTCTCTATAAAAGCCTTCCCCAACCCTCCCAGACAAAGTCAGCTTTCCATATTTCACTTTGCAGTATATAGACTAAGTTTAGTCATACTTATGCGGCAGTCCCACTGAAAAGTAGTAAGTGTATCCAAGAGGAGCAGCTCCGTACTTTTTACAGAGATACTTTCTGTGGTGAAGTGGGATTGAGGGAAATGCAATCAAAACCTTTTCTCTCCTCATCACTTAGTGTCCTAACAAAAGGTATGCCTTTCCCCTCTATGTGCATCATTGAACATTAGAAGGTTAAGAATTTGGTATTATACTTTTATTAACTTATCACTTCATTCATTGAATAAATACATATTAAGTGCCAGTGAATTGCCAGGTACTATGCTATATACTGGAGATAACATAGTCAACGAAATGGTCATGACCCTCAGGGAGCTACTTACTAATTTATGACTATATTATGTCAAGCTAAGACAAGGTTTCGCAACCTATTAATATTTTGGGCCAGATAATTCTTTGTTTTAAGGAGCTGTCCTGTGCATTGTAGGATGTTTAGCAGCATCATGGGCCTCTACCCACCAGATGCCAGTAGCACAACTACTGGGGGGCAAAATTGCCCCTGGTTGAGAACCACCAAACCAAGGTAATATTTACTATGGAAACTCTGCGAAGCTGTTACTCCATGTACCATATAAGATACATGTTCTACATTCAGAAACATAGTGAGTTCACATGAGAAATTGCACTTGCATTCTATGATTTATTCAAGAACATAACTCGTATATTATTCAGGACTGTTTATCTCTCCTGCTACTTAGAAAGCTTATTCATCCCTTTTTCCCCAGCTCACAGAAGAGGCCAAGCACAAACATGGCCTCAGTGAAGGTGGGTTGAATGAATGAAGATAGGTGGTGATGACAAGGCAAGAAGGCTGTAGTTTGAGCCCAGGTTTGACAGTAGTGACTTCTGTGTAATTACCACACTGTATTAGCTTTACTAGTGAATGTGCAGGGGAAGGGGAAGCAGCAGAGAATTCACACTTTCTATACCAAGCACCCTGTTAGATATTTTGCATGCAGAGTGTTACACATCTTTACCTCTTGGCTATCTAAATCTGTTATTTCAAAGTTGCTTGAGCTAATGTTTTTCTTTCAGAGTTTGAACTGATGCATGTGGATGAGTTTATTGATGAGCTACTGCATAGTGAGAGAGTCTGTGACATTATTCTGCCCCGACTACAGGTAAGAGATAAAGGTCTCTTATCAGAGTTAACCCTTACTTCCAGAAGTCTCTTATCAGAGTTACCCTTACTTCCAAGACAGACAGACAGCCAGTTAAAACACTGAGGCCATGGATCTCATGGGTACTCTTAATAAGTAGTCTTCCTGACTATGAGAAGATGTGTGATTGGAGTGAAAGGAAAGCAGATGGAGTGTCTAAAGGGCAAGACTTTGAGAGTGAATAACACAAGAAAGCCGCCTTCTGTAGGATGTTAGATCAAGGAGATTGTAGCTAGAGTCATGGCTTTTAAACTTTGTGAGCAGTTCTCCAATTGATCTTCATATAAAAATCCAGGATATAAAACAGATAAAAGCAGAGTTGATCTAGTGGGAGGGCTGAGAGTAGGAGACTCTAAGCCCTTATCTCCTTAAACCTTACCTTTATCATCCCACCTCCCTTCCCCAGTGATAAAAGATGGTCTGTGAAGCACCTTTCAGTAATGGGTTTTACAGAGTAGGATTTGAAAATTACTGTTGGAAAATACAAAGGGAAAACAGATATGGTTGGTAGCCTTAAGAGAAAGGGGTTGAGCTATAATGGAGAGATCACTGAATAGGGAAATAAGTTTCTGTATTGTGATACAGCTGACTAGTTGTGGGACCTGGTTTCATTTTCCCCCTATAAAATGCTCAGTGAGGTAGAGGGTCAGCAAAAAAGAGGAAGACCTCAGTGAGATGGATTGACACAGTGGCTCCAACAGTAGGCTCAAACATAGCAACGATTGTGAGGATAGCACAGGACTGGGCAGGATTTTGTTCTGTTGTACATGGGATTGCTATGAGTTGGAACCTTACAACAACAACATAAAATTAGACTATCTCAGTGGTCTTTAAACTGCCCTGTGGGACTGTTAAGGCTTCTGAGGGAACAAGAGGAGACAGCCCCACATATTCCAACCAGGTTATATTCTCTATATATCAGGCCACAGCAGTGAGATTTGATTTGAACAAAGCCTTTTTGTTGTTTAATGGTTTTATTGAGGTATAATTGACAGACAGTAAACTACCCATATTTAAAGTGTTCAGTTTGATAAGTTTTGACATATGTGTACACCCATGAAACCAACACCACAATTGAGACAGTGAACATAGGCATCACCTCCAAAAGTTTCCTTCTTTCCTTTTATGTAATCCCACTATCCCATCCCTCCTCCTTGCTCCGAAGCTACCACTGATGTGCTGTCACAGTAGATTAGTTTGCATTTTGGAATTATAGAGTATTTACCCTTTTTTTGCCTTCCTTTTTTTCACTCATAATTATTCATCCATTTTCTTGCATCTGTCAATAGTTTATTCATTTTTATTGCTGAATAGTATTACATTGTATGAATTTACCACAATTTGTTATCCGTTCATCTGTTTATGCAGAATTGTGGGATACAAGGTCAGTATATAAAAATCACTTGTATTTCTACAAAGTAGTAATGAACAATCAGAACTTGAAATCTTATTTAAAAATACTATTTACAATAGCATCAAAAATATAAAATAATAAAGGAAATTTTGCCAAAAGATGCGCAAGACCTCTACAGTTAAAACTACAAAACATGGCATTACTGAGAAAAATTTTAAAGTCCTAAATAAATGGAGAGATATACCATGTTCATGAGTCAGATAACTTAACATTGCTAAAATAGCAGTTTTCCCCAAATTAATCTATAGATTCAGTACAAATCCCAATCAAAATCCCAGTAGGCTTTTGTAGTGCTTGACAAGATGATTCTAAAATTTATATGAAAATGCAGAGTATCTAGGATGTCCAGAACAATGCTGAAAAAGAAGAACAAAGTAAGACAAACACTACCTGATTTCAAGACTTACTATAAAGCTATAGTAACCAAGACAGTGTTGTATTGGCGTAAAGACAGACAAATATATCAATGAAACAAAATAAAGGAACCAGAGATAAACCTACACTTATATGGTCAGTTGGTTTTCTACAGAGATGTCAGGGCAATTCCATTGAGAAAGAATAATCTTTTCTATAGAATTGGATAGCCGAACGCACACTAATAAATTTCTACCCTTAGCTCACACCATATATAAAAATTAACTTGGAGGAGATTATAGACTTAAATATAAAAGCTAAAGCTATAAAACTTCTAAAAGAAAACATGGGAGAAAATCTTAGTGACCTTAGGTTTGGCAAAAACTTCATAATGGGACACAAAAAGCATGATTTTTCTTTTAATAAATTGGCCGTTATAAAAATTAAAAACTTATTTTTCAAAAGACAGTTAAAAAATAAAAAGGCAAGCCACAGAGAGGAAGACTATTTGCATAACATATCTGATAAAGGCCTTGAATCTAGAAGGGACTCGTAGCTTAATAATAAGATAACCCAATGGAAAAATGAGCAAAAGACTCTGACATACTTTACCAGAGAAGATACACAGCTGGCCAATAAGCACATTCAGAAACCACTCAGCATCATTAATCATTAGGAAAATGCAAATTAAAATCATGATGATACACTACGTACCTATTAGAATGTCTGAAACAAAAAGGACTGGCCATACCAAATGTTGGTGAAGTTGTGAAGGAACTGAACTCTAATACACTGCTGGTGGCAATTTAAAATGATAATAACTTTGGAAAAGTGTGGTGATTTCTCAAGAAGTTAACCATACAACCTAGCCATTTCACTCTTAGGTATTTATTTACTCAAGAGTAATGAAAGCACGTCTCCACACAAAGATTTGTTGTACATGAATGTTCCTAACTGCTATATTTATAGTCAGAAATTGGAAAGAATGGAATGTCCATCAACAAGTGAACGGATAAACAACTTGTGGTGTATCCATACAGTGGAATGCTACTTATTAGTAAAAATAAAGGAACTATTGATACATGCATCAACATGGATGAAAAATAATTATGTTGAAAGAAGACAAAAAAAGTATAAGTATACAGTATGTACTGTATAATTCCATTCATATAACATTTTAGAAAATGTAGACACATTGGTGGTTGCCTAGGGACAGTGTATAGTTGTCTATAATAAATGTCAACACTCATCAATTGGAATACTTTTTAAATGTACTATTTATCTTATGTTAATTATACCTCAAACTGCAAAAAAATCACTGGAATAGATGTCTACTAAGGACCTTTGGCTCTTCCAGCTCTACTGTCCTCTAATTCTGTATCTGTGTATGTTAAAATGTCCAGCATTAACTAAAAGGTCTCAGAGGCAGTGTTATAAATGGGGAATGGAAGCAGATTCTTACATGTTTTAAGCAATCACAGAAACTCCAGCTGGGAGGATCTACTACTTCACGTTTCCTTGTTGACGCTACTGCAGCTCAGTAATGCCGAAGCAATTTGCTGTATCCCACCTGCTAGGTGCTTGCTTTCTTGCTAGCTATAAAGCAAAAAGTGATAATTTAAAGACCAAAGGAATCAGAAAAACTTAAATTTTAAACTAGAGAATTGAATGGATTACAGATACCTGATGAGTGGGCGTGATGAATTTGCGTGAGGCAGCAAAACAGTTGGATAAAAGTAATTGATAGGTGAGTGCCCATGCTAAAATGCAATGAACCAACTCTTCCATCACACTGGCTCAGTTACAATCCTATAAAATAAAAATCTTGAAAATGAGTGTGGTGTGATTCTTGTTTCATAGTGGGTACTGTAGTGTATGAAAACGCTGGTGGTGTAGTGGTTAAGTGCTAAGGCTGCTAACCAAGAGGTCGGCAGTTCGAATCCACCAGGCACTCCTTGGAAACTATGGGAGAGTTCTGCTTTGTCCTATAGGGTTGCTATGAGTCGGAATTGACTCGATGGCAACAGGTTTGGTGCTTTTGTTTTTTAAACTGTAGTGTATATAATGAAGAGAATGAGTTCTCTAACTAGCGCATTATGGGTTACATTAGCTGTTTTATTATTATCTTTAGCTAATTTTTTATAACCTTTAGAAATGCTGTAAGAAATGGAAAACTTCCATGTGTAATCAGGTTGTAGCTAAGAATTCTAAAGCCCAGTCAACTCTAAGCAAGCCTGCTAATGCAAGTGGGGTAGTCTGTGTGGATTCTAGAAGGAAAGACCACAGAAAAAAAGTTTTTTACTGTTTATCAAGGGCTTGACTACTAACCTAGGGGTTGGTGGTTCGAACCTACCCGGTGCCTTCACAGAAGAAAGGCCTGGCAGTCAGCTTCTATAAAGATTGCAGCCAAGAAAACCCTATAGAGCAGTTCTACTCTGTAACAGATGGGGTCATCATGAGTCAGAATTGACTCGACAGCAGCAGGTTTGGTTTTTTTGTTTTTTGCCCAAGTGAGAGAAATTGAAATCTGACTCTGACTGATAAATGTTTTCAGATCACTGAGAAGTGTGCTCTGGTGTCCGCCTCTATATGTTCTGGATGAAGTGACCCATGAGACTACTTTTTGTTCTAATTCTGTTCTTATTAAGCAACTTGCAGGTCATCAGTTTAGCTTCTGATGTGCCCTGACATTGGCTCTGGCATATATTCTCATTCTGTTAAACACAAATATTCTAAGTTAACACATTGATGTCAGCCTCCTCTGAGTCTGGTGGGCATGAGGGACTCTGGACACGCTGTCTGATAACAGTTCCAGATCCCAAACTGGTGATCCTGGAGAGCCCTTTTCCTTTGCCATCTGACTTCCCTAGGGGGCCTCTCTGTCTCATTTCTCCCAGTCATAGGATTTTGATGAGGGATGAAAGAGCTAAGTAGTATACAAATGATACAGGGCTTTCCATCTAGGCCACCCAGCATTCTTTATGTCTTTGGCAAAGGAAAATGGTAAGGGATCTTATGACCCAGCCAGTCCACTTTTGCAGTTTTGAACTCACTTTTGCTTCTCAGGTCTTTAGTCACTCAATAAGTACTGCTAGCCACATCCAGGAAGAAAATGGAAGCAGGAGATGAGTTGAATTGTTTATTTCCTGTGCCCAGTCTAAAATACATAATCCAGACAGCTCCTGGATCCTAAGTCTAGTGGAGAGTTGGCACTACTCTACAGTAGGACCCAAGGCATTCTTCAGCCCTCAAACTGGGCTGAGCCTCAATGGATTTCTTGGGGTAGGTTCTGGACTGGGCCTCTTATGGTGGAGCTACCAACCAACAGTCTCAGCCACGAACTTATTGGCCCTTGGATTTTCTGTGTGTATAAAGTCCACAGTTTTCTTCTAGGCTGCACCTGTACTGATCGATATTCTAGTGGCTTTAAAGTATAAGATCACAGGAAAAAGAGCCAGTAGAAAATGAAAATGTGCCCTTTAGCTTTGTATCATCTGTTTAGAGGGGAGTTTAATTTAAAGAGTGTATAGATGCCAGGCATGTTAAAATCCTTAGGAAACTTGAACTGTTTGTTGATATGAGATTGCCTCAGCTCTTGTGCCACAGTTTTCCATCCGTCCCAGAAACCTAATGTTGGGGCTTCAGGACTTCGAGGAGATGGCAATAAGCCCTAACTAACTGCATTCTCTGTAGAAACGCTATGTGCTAGAGGAAGCTGAACAATTGGAGCCTCGGGTTAGTGCCCTAGAAGAGGACATGGATGACGTGGAGTCCAGTGAAGAGGAGGAAGAGGAAGATGAAAAGGTCAGCCTTCTGGGAGCTTAAGGGTTGACAGGGGAGTGTTATGGGGCTGGGAATGGTACTTTTTTATTTTTGGTTTTCAGACTTTAATTTTTAACTTTCTTTAATCAAAATGAAAATATTTAGTCATTAAGAGTATTGAGAGTCAAATAGACCTGGATTCATAGCTCTGCCATTTTATGGCAGTATAATCTTTTGCAAATTACTTAACCTCAGTTTTCTTCTGTAACGTAATGATACCTTTCTCTTAGGACTGTTGTGAGTATTAAATGAGATGATATACATACAGCCCTTAGCAGAGTATTGGCACATTATAATTGCTTAATGTAGAGTAGCTATTAAAATACTTGGGGCAAAAAGCACTCTTCCTAACTGTGTACCGTAAAGAATAAGCCTTCTTTAGAAAAATAAAATGCCTGCTGCATGGTCATGTTCTTTCAGTGTTTGTCATAATGCTGAAAAATTGAAAACAACCCAGATGCCCAGCTGTCAAAGGTCAGGAAAATTATTATAGCAACTCAACAAACTATTAGGCAGCCATTAAAACTTCTGTGAAAATTATATGCTAATGTGGAAAATGCTTAAGTTAAAAAAGCAGGAACTAAAACATATTTGTGATTAAAATTATAAAAATATATGCATAAAAAACGAGAAGGAAATACAAGAAATGTTAGCCTTGAATATATTTGAATAATTTTCCTTTTTACTTCTGTTTTTGTTTAATGCCATGTATCAGTTTTACATGGAAAAATACTAGCATTCTATCTTTAGATACATTCAGTTTTTTTTTTTTTAAGTATTTTTTTAATTATTTATTTTATTGTACTTCAGGTGAAGGCTTACAGAACAAATAGTTTCTCATGAAACAGAAGTACACATGTTGTTTT